TCCAATTCACAAGCAGTGTCTTGATTGCTTGGATACCTCTACTTGTCCCCCACCCCCAAATCTGCAAAAGTCATCGACAAGATAGCAGTTGCATATCCAAAATGGGAAGCTTCTGATTGCTTTAAACAGAAATATTGAGTTTATAGTGAACTGCAAGACCTATAGAAGCTGACTGGAAAGCTGCAATGGGTGATTCACTCGCAGTAAAGCTGCGTATGCATGGCAATGTATTTCTTCAACATATGTCAGAGCAAGATGGTTCAAGAGAAGAAAGTGAGACAAACTCTCCCCAAGAATGTGGATTTGCAACAGACTGGCACAAGGAGAGTACTGAAAAGAAGTGGGGCAATTCCCAAGAATGTATAATGAAGTCTGTCTACTATAGGACTCATAATCAAGAAGAATATTATGCTAAGTACTGAGTATTTTAATTAATGACTTTGATGAAGTGGTGGAGGGAATGCTTACCACATTTACAGTCTTACAATTTATAAATTTACAATTGTAAATTTAAAATTTACAGTTTTAAATGGGATGGTTAATATTCTAGAAGGCAGAAATAAATTTCAAAACAAACTTGAGAGATTAGAAAAAAGGTTAAGTGGTTGAAAGTAACAGAATGAAATTTAATAGAGACAAGTGCAAAGTTCTTAACTTATAAAATAAAAATCAAATCCACAGGTACAGGATGAATGATACCTGGGATTTGTAATAGTATTTGCGAAAAATATTTTAGAACAGTTGTGGATTGCAACTCAACATAAACAAGCTGATACAGCTGCAAAGAAAGAAAATGCAATTTTAGAGTTCATCCAAAGAAATATAATTTCCAATATTTACAGTAATTGTTCCACTCTATTTGGCTTTGGTCAGGTCTCACCTCAAGAACTACACAAAAGATTCAGAGAAATCAGAGTTTGTCAGAGAACAAAGGTGATCAGAGATGTAGAAACTAAACTCTATAAAGAAAGACTGACAATGTTAGCTTTTAAAAATATCAGGTGAGTGGGAATATGATAACTGTCTAAAAATACCTGAATAATCCTTCACATAGGGTATGTCACAGAGAAGAAAGTTAGGTCATGCTCTCTCCAATTCCAGAGTAAAGCACATGGAATAGTGGATTTAAGTTAGAGTAAGGCTTGTTTTAATAGAATATTAGGGGAAAATGTCCTAACTATAAAAATAGTTGGACAGTGGAACTAACTGTCCAGAGAGGCACCCCTTCTTTGTATGTGTTCAAGAAAGGCTAGGAAGTCCTCCCTCTAGACGGTTTAATTTGGATACCTGTACTGTGCAGATGGTTGGACTCACAACCTAAATGACTCTATGATTATTGATACACTGAGGCTGGAGAATTCTGGGAGTGGAAGACCATAAAGCTGCCAAGGTTGAGGAACACTGGGTTAGAGATGGAAGTGAGAAAGATTAGATTTATCCAAAATTCCCAAGGCTTCAGAAAGGAAACTCCTTAAATTACAGTAGAGAACATACAGATCAGTAAACTTCAGTTATTCAATATACTAGTTTTAGGGTCTTAATGCTTCAAGCCATGGTGAAACTCCTATTTGTATAGCCTTTCCCAGAACAACAACAAAATAAACAAAGTAAACAATTATGCCAACATTAAATAAATAAGGCCCTCCCCAAACATATGCACCTACAAAAGAGCCATATTAGTAACTGGATAATTGTCTTTTTTTTATCCATTTTCTCTGACAAGGTTCATGTGAATTTTTTTCCCTGGGTTTGTTAACCAGAGTGCTATTGAGGACAGTATTCCATTCCCATTTGTTTGATGAATTAATACATTCTTACACTTGCTTTTTCTTTTCACTTTTAGTATTTGACAAAATAAAGGTATTATTTTAAATGTAACAATACCGTTTTTTTTGTGGGAGAATTGTCCAGGTGTGCGCATTACTTTTCTTATTCAAGCTATTATCATGAACAACTTAATTCTAAGTTAATTTTTATGTGAAGTCTACCTACTGTATAAATTTAAGATATTGGGTCTCATTTGGCAGAGAGAAAGAGAGAGAGAAAAAAAAAACACTTCTAAAACAATCACTTAATTCATTTTCTTGAAATAAACCACAAATTACTTTTATGTTAAGTATTTCTGTAAAATGGGCCTGTTATGGGAAAAACGGTTCAGTTTATCTTTTCTTTGATTGAATGAGATAACTCATCCTAAAAAACAAGGAGCTTTTAAAATACTGATGTGTGGCAGTTTAATAACATTTTAAAACCTTACATACAATTTTTAAATCAATTGTACCTGTGGATTTGTTTTCTTAGAATTTTAGAATGTGAATTTATTTCTGTTTCTATCCAATCTGTGCTGCCATAGTTTCTTAGAGATTACCCACACACACACACACACATGCACTTCAAATATATTTATATTACTAAACAGGAAAGCAGTAGTTTGCTTGTTTTAACAATTACTGCTACTTCACTTTTATGAAAAGTTGATTAGATCTTCTAAAACTTTCTATAAAACACATTCAGTCTGTGCAAGCATTTGGAGAAGTGGGATATAAATCCATCAGCTTCATAGTCATCTCTAAATATGAACCTTATTTATAAGTAGGTGTGCTTTGAAGAATTCTAGTTTTACTTTCAGAGTTTTACTTTTCTTTCATATCATGACCATCACTAAGTTTTGCTACCTTGGTTTGGATACACAGCTGCTTTCTTCATTAAGGAAAATTGGACATAACTAAGAAATTCTATTGGCCTATATGCACCTATTTGGATTTCTCTACAGTACACATAGGAACTGGTACATAAATTCAAAATTTTACATTTACATTTAATTTTTAAATGTAAGAATAGAAGTTCAGTGATGCATAATTATATTTAAAACTGACAATGGTTGGTAGCAAAAACAATTTAGAGGCTTTATTTTCTTTTTCGGGCAATCTCTAAACAGGCATTACTGAATTATCAAAGACTTCTCAGCACCCTATGAAAATTCACTATTGACTGGTATGATAAAAATACAAGTAATAGAAATAATTTGAAATTTGGTACTTCCTGTACAAGAGAAGAATTTAAAAAAAAAATCACCAAAAAGTATCTCATGATGGGACTAACAAAGGATACCAGTCTGAAGAAATTTAGAATGCCTGCTATTTTGAGATGAATTAGTTTTAATGCACATATTTTGCTGTTTTTTTCCCCCCCTCTAAAACAAGATGTCAGCACTGCCAGAAGAGAAAGAAATCAGGATGAAGTAAAAAACAGACCAGTCAAAACCTTCACAAAAGCTGCTGTTTATGGCAAAGGGAGGATGGGATCTCTGTAGAGAAAAGGATGGAGGCACTCAGGATATGTTAAGAATTTCACTTATGACAATTAGATAAGAAAAGGCATTAGGTAACACCTGATACGACTGACTTTTCTCTTACTCTTAAGTAATGACTTCATGGCAGTACAGAATATGTGTGTCTGCCAGTATGCATATGGCAATAATGAAATTATTTTTGGAATTTGTGATCAAGCCTGTGTGGTTTATCTTGCTAGTAGCATTGGACTACCATAGTAGTCTACCTCTAAGTGCTACAAGCCAATGGAAATCTCTAGCAAACCCTAATAAGCCTAGCTGATTATTGACTTATGAGTCCTACTTATCAGAAAAACAGCAACGCATGAATCTGTGACATAGAAAGGGCATGTGGTGATGTATATATCCATTTCCTTTTGAAGGAGTAGCAAAGTGGAAGCACTCACACACTTGATCACAGTAAGGGAGAATTGTAAAGAATATACTGATTATTCTGTTTGAATGATTACAGTGAACGATAATAACCCATTTAAATATCTGTCAATGTGATGATAGTACAGGTAAGAAAAACATAATAGGAAAGTATAAAGTTGGAAGGACCACTTAGACTATGACCACAAATCACCTGGTCCATGTAGGAATCCAAATTAAAGTATCCACAACAGATGGTTGTCTAGTTC